CTGTTGAGTGCTACTTCGACCACGCATGTGACGTGCCAGCCCCATACGAATGAAACCGTATCTGAGTAAGAATGCGGCCGCTGATTGCATCGCATACGACATCGCGGATCTTGATAACCACTCGCGTTGCTGTATGCAAGGGTGATCAGCTGTTGGTCACCTCAAACCTTACCCATGGTTGGCGTTGTTTTCTTCGACGTAAGGGAGTGCTTTAGTGAGTTTTCAGCTGTGAGCTAAGAGAGAAAACTCGTAAATATCTGGAACATCAAATCTTACTTTGTCCAGCGCATATCGTTCTTGAGGATATCTCCGAGAGAGGGAGAAGAAGAAAAACGGATGCATCTAGCATGTCTTTGTCTATCGCCGGTGAAAACGGCGGGTGGTGTCTCAACCTCTGGAATGACACTTCATGAGGCTCTTGCCAAACGTGGGGGTCACCAGTCGCAGGGAATGTCGACAGCCTCAGCTTCTCACGAGAGGCCAGGATTGTGAGACATTGCAACCATTCATCTGACTTGCGACCCAATTTCCCCACCAACGATGGTGTATCCGGTGTCTTGGAGAGACAAAGGGGAGGCAATAGACGGTCGAGCCTCACCCTGCTACTCGACATATTATTCTCATGGCTCCCCGCGACCATTCTGCACTTTGTTCACTGTATCGCCCAAGTCTCAAAAATTGCGGTGAGAAACGATGACCATGGACGCTATGAACAGTGTTTCAAGTGACCGAAAGCCTTCATCTGTAAAGGACGATGAATTATCCCCAGCGACAGGGCCATCCTCGACCTGTGGGGCAACTGTTGAGGCATTAACAGAGCCTGATGATCGCATCGAAACATGGCGACTATTGATGGTTTTCGCCTGGTATGTTGTTGAGTTTTATTTGTTCTCCTTCCAGCTATCGTTCAATACTAACCTTGATATCATTGCCAGTGTTGGCTTGGGCCTCTTCTTGTCGCTCATGGATGCAACCATTGTCGCCACCATTCTCGTCAACATCTCCGATGAATTCCACGACTTTAGCAATTCTGAATGGGTCATCTTATCCTACACCTTGTCGGAAGTTGGTGAGCGTTCCTCTGCACCGTATGATCTATTCATATGTTAATGGGGTACAGGATTTGCCGTTATACTTGCCAGACTATCAGACGCCATAGGAAGAAAGACGGTCATCGTTGGATCTTTTGCTCTTTTCTTAGCATCATCCATGGCCTGTGGCGCTTCAACCACTCTCAATCAGTTAATCGGCTTCCGAGCTGTGCAGGGCATTGGCGGTGCGGGTCTCTTTGCCATGGCATTGATCATCACCACCGAAATGTCTCCTCCCGGCGCCATCGCTTACGTCTCTCTCTATGTTGGCATTATTCTGGTCATGGGCGGTGTCATTGGGCCAGTCATTGGTGGTTTGTTCTCGACATACTCTGACTGGAGGTGGGTGTTTTGGATCAAGTGAGTGATCCCCATTGTCCATTGATCCCGTCGTGACTCTGGCTAACCATGATTTCCATACAGCGGGCCTTGCACATTTGTGCCAATTGTGCTACTGTTGGCTTTCTGGCCAAAGAAATACCAGATTGCGAAAACCGTGAAGCTCAAGGATCTTGACTGGGTCGGCGCCTTTCTTGTTATGGCGGGTTCAATCCTCCCAGTATTTATCGTTCAGCAGACCGCGCTCGGAGAGTATGCATGGAAGAGCGCAACAACAATCATCATCCTGATCCTTTCAGCGCTCTGCTGGATTGCCCTCGCTTACTGGCAGTGGGACATATCATGGCGACCCAGGTTTCGCCACATTCAACCACAGTTCCCGTGGGCCATCCTTACAGATCGCGTCATGATGGCAGCTCTGGTAAACACCATCCTGGCCGGGTTTGTCTATCTCTTGCTTCTTGTGAATATCCCCATTCGAGCTCAGATTGTCAACGCCTACAATCCGATCAAGTCAGCCGTCTTACTCCTGCCCATGCTGGGAGGTGGCTCAGTCGGTTGCGGGTTGAGCGGAATGCTGTCGGCCAAGAAACATCGGACATTCCTAACTTTAAACGTGGCGAGTGGGTTGATGATTGTGGGCAGTGGACTTCTCACCACCATTCCGGATACATTTGAACCAGCGGCAAGACAGTGGGGATACGAGGCCATCCTGGGGTTTGGCGTGGGCATGAACCTGGCGACAATCGTCATGCTCAGTCTCTACTATATGGAATTTGAACACCACGGTAAGTGGTTCTCGACTTTTCTCTTCCGTCTCAATCTCGGCAACGCTGACAGTTTTGCCACTTAGCTGTCACACAGGGTCTTATCGCACAAATGCGCGTCTTTGGTGGTAGCATTGGAGTCGCCGTTAGCTTCATTGTGCTGCATGACCGAACCCAGAAGATGATGAAGGACATACTCACCCCGAAGCAGCTGGACGACATGTCCAAATCACCACTCGCCATCTTGACCTTTTCTCTTCCACAGATTCTAAGGGCAAGGGAGACCTACGTCAGTGCATTCAAAGTTGATATGCAAATATGCCTTGGCATCTCGGCAGCATGTCTTGTCGCGTCGCTCTGCACTTATGAGCGCAATCCGTGTAACCCGGTGGTTAGAGCAAAGGAGTTTGAGGACTACATGCAAGAACATAGGGATGCGGCGAAGGCTGCGAAAAATGAGAACCATTGATTATATATATCATTACATATAGACTATGGATGAGGACGGTATTCCGATTCAGCACTCACCAGCCTTGCAAGAGGACAGTATGGAAATATGCATCAAGTAGATGCCTATTTTAATAAGAAACTCAAGAGAAGATTGCTTTATTTTGGAGACAATATGACTACCATTGCTCTCATCCTTCTTTGCTCCCTCAGTGCCGCATAACGCTCGAGCACTGGCTGATGCAAGAGAAATCGTGATGGTGTTTCGAACACAGGGCCTCGACCACCGGCCTGTGATGGTTAGATGGGGAATTGAAGCAAACTTTGACAGTCGTCATCAACGATGCCGGATGAGGGGTTGTTTGCTCGCTCACTGTCAGCAGAGGCTCCGCGATGCAGTTCAGCTCTCGCCAGTATCAACGCCCGAGCGTGGTCTTCATTGATGAGCCAGTGAGGCCATTTGTTATGTTGAAGGTTGCCAAAGATAAAATCACATACCTTATTTTTGGAAACAGCTTAAGCATTGCTACCCAATACTGTCCTTTGCCGTCGCATCCATCACTTCATGACCCATTCTTTATACCATCAGCCAGAGCACTGATCACAGCAGCACCACTTTTGGTTCCTCAACATCCATCAAACGTTCGTCTTCCTGGCGAACCTGCATCATAGCTCGCGCGCCACCAGTCAGCGTTATTTGACTCCAACTTGGACCATTCGATGCTTCCACCCTTTGGTTTGTACGTATGGTAAGCGAGATGGGGCGAACGAATTTTGACTTGCTTCAGCTGAGAACAAACTCAGATCTTTGATCCAAACTCATAGCCATCACGCCCACATTGCGGGGTGCAAGAGATGGTAATTATTTGTCAATTTATTGATGAAATGCCCGTACATCAATCGCTTCCCCCAAGGTCAGCCCGCTCCATGTCCCGTGCTGCTTATGGCGGGCGTTGTAGGTGAGATGGCGCCCGTGCCAATTATTCTTATTCTACTACCGAAACCCCTTTGCTCGAAATTCATCAGAACTATTAAAGAATCTAAATAACTCCCTACCTGTAGATTCTTTCAACTCTTAATCCCACAGAATCCCTTGTGTAAACAGCCAACAACATCTTCTCAAACAAGTTACTTATTCTTTCCTCACAATTTCATCTCAAACCTGAGCGCCCAAACATGCATTCCTCCACTCTCATCTACTTTATTTCTCTTCTCCCAGCAGTGTTGGCCGGTCCCGTCTCGGCCAGCAAAAGCTGCGATACGGGCTTCGAGAGGATTGATGATGGCGACGGCACTATTCTTTGGTACAGGGACATGGACTGCCAATGGTCCGGTTGCCAGCCAGATGAATGGTACCAAAAGGCTCCACTCGTTGATGCAAACGGACGATCCTTGTTCTCTCGTCTATCCAGCAGCACCTCAGCTACATACTGTATTTCGCAGAAGCAAGGCAACACGCTTCAATATCTAGACACAATGACCAACGGAGGCAAGACGGATAAGTCGATCAGTCCATTTGGCCAGTGCTGCGCCTCATTTGGCGGTCGCTGTAAGAACGCCGGAGATTCTGACAGCCTATGGTGTAAATACTCGGAGTAAGTTTCGATGACCGCTCGCCTATATGACATCAACTGACCCATTTTCTATAGCCAGGCAGCTGTCGTCCAGGAGCCCAAGGCTGCGGATCGCACTACTATCGAGGGCAAGAACAAGTTTTACACGAGCGCTCTGTGTACATCAGAAAAGGAAGTGTGCACTAATCTCAGGCAATTTCTCATAGCCGAACTTACACTGGAGCTTGGTTTCTGAAGATGGTTCCATCTAGAATCGTCGATGGATAGCTAGTATGACTTATAAATTCTAAACATTGACTCTATTCTTTTACTATTGTCTATGCAATTCTCATTATGTGAAATAACACAATGCCATCGCATGAGCAGCTTAGTAATAGCCTCAACCCTTGGGGTGTTTCTGGTTTTCTTTCTCTGTAGAGTCGAAGTCTTGGACGTGATCCTGATCAAGAACGGATAGTATAAAGGTCTCTCTCGAAGCTAAGCCGCCATTCCCTGCAGATGATAGCATAGCGTACACGAGTGCGAGGGTCCGATTCCCAATAGCAGTCCTTTCGATCCACTTGAAGATGAGCCGCTCGGGTTCTAGCGGTGGTTGAGTCACGTAGTTAAACTTGAACAGGTAAGCAAGTTCTATAAGACCCTGGCCGCCCAGAGTTTAGCTGAACGAAGAAGATGCCGGCCGGATCCAGTTAAGCAAGGAAGATGTGACGTTGGGGAAAGTTGTGCTGCTAGATCGCTGAACAAAGTCTCGATTGACCCTGTGCTGTACCACAACGAAAGACGCCCGGTTAGCTCAATCGGTAGAGCGTGAGACTCTTAACGAGGCACACGTTCTGAAAAACAATGTGGTGAACATCTCAAGGTTGCGGGTTCGACCCCCGCATTGGGCTTTTCCTATCTCACCAAGATTGAGCATTCACTCCTGGTTATTTTTTTGCCATTTTTTGCTCTTTAGTTGTATCCGTTTTTTCGAGTTGATGAAGTCGATAAACTCTGAGCAGTGTGGACTTGGTTGGCTCTGTTTCATGTGAAAGGGTGATGCAGGATACCTACCCGGGAAGAAGGCATTTAGAGAAAACCATTTTCAGGAGATGGAAATCTAGAATAATAATAGCATAAGAGGTAATATAATTTTTTAATTATCGTAAAAAGTAAGTTTGGTTCTTTTACTATCTAAAGACGATGTAATTGTTTTTTATGTAGTTGGTGAATTGTCCCTTGTCTCCCCCAATACCGCTTTTTGGGACAAGCCTCAACATGAAGTGTTTTGAATGGACTTTTGTCTGACATCGGGTACATCACTCTTCCGACGATACTCGCGTGACAATGGAGTCAAGTTTCTATTTATGCCATAATAGTGACCCATAATAGATGCCTCACTTGCACGCATCTTCCGATCGCATGTACCAACAGCTTGGTTTTGGTCCGGACCCGATCCGCTCTCAGAAGAGCTCACCTGCTCATTCTTCAATGTGTGTGCATCCAACAAGCTGAACAATAAAGCAGGACAACAATTATCCTTGCGCGGGGTCATGGCAGCTCAGCCTATTCACCGTTTTGCGCAAAAGCCCTCGGTCCAGGTCTCCGGACCCGACAATTGTTGCCCAATTCCCGCATGCCAAGATGGGAACAAACAGTCACGATCGGAGAATACCACGAACCTGGTGTCGCGACCTTTGGCGCGGAAGAGGTGATGGGCAGAGCGAGCGAGTGAGGGAGAGAGAGAGAGAGGGCCTTCGGAGGCACCCGAGTATCGGAAGCCTTCCGATTTGGGAGTGGGAGTCATGAATGTGTGGAGTCTCCCCCGGAACTATTCAGCACTTGGCAGGGTCTTCGTTTAGGAAAATTACCGAAAGATTCCATAGCCCATGACTCGGCCGATGGATTCGCCTCGTGGCAAAAATATTGAAGATGTTCTGGAACGCATGTGCTTCATTTTTTTCACGACTATTTCTAGCTGTGGTATGCCATGTCCGTGGTGATTTGCGGATATTTTACCGCATGGGTGAAAAATGCTTACCACCCCCAAAAGCTGCATGGCGATCCTGTTCGCTGTGGCCGAGATGCGATCGTCTGCCTGGCCCTGGGTTCAGGATCGTAGCCACATGGTTTCATTAGATAATAGCAGCAGAAAGAGGGGGAAGAACCCACAGTTTGAGTGCAATTGACCGAGGCAGTTAGCCTACCGAGCTGATACCTATCGGAGACTCCAGTCCGTATCTTGCAGCATACGGAATGCAATATCTCGGTGTGGGATGACGATGCTTGTATGACATTCATTCGTACGGATCCAACAACTACATGTAACTCGTCAGGGTGTTTGCTTAGGCCTCCTCGTAGGACTATGACCAACTTTTCCATCAATAGTCTGCCGCGGATTTCGGATCTTGAGTGGGCATAATCATCACCATAATCAAATTCCAAACCCGTTCCGTCCAACCGTCGTTTTCCTGTACGAGCTCTCTCCTCTTCCCTCCCCCATCCCGCATTGAAGAATTGATAATGGATGACCATCTTTTGCAAAGGTTCCATCGAAGCAACATATCGGGTCCGTCTAATCAACAAACGGCGTGCCCTAACAAAAGAGCACACGAACAGAGTGGCCAAGGCTTTCAAAGGTTCCTTGGCGGGTTGGTTGGCTGAAAGCGGACACTTTGCTGCTTCAGGTGTAGCGCAAGGAATCCTTATTTTGTACTGTGGCGAAGGTCAGTCTGGGACTTTGTTCTTCGCACTGTACGCGTCCCCATCTTGTCTCCGTTTTTGGTGGAGGAGTTGAGGGACCCAGGAAATCAAGGGTTTGTTTGATAGAGTCGAGACGTATGAGGTGAGACTGATTAGATATTCCTTCGGATACAGATATGGGGGAAAAGCGACCACGGCCCTGCCTAAGCGAAGCAAATGATGGGAGTGAGTCACGGATTTCCCCGTCTGCTTTCGTCTTCTCTCTCATCCCTCCATGTCTCTGTTGGTTCTCCAGTTTCTCCAAAATTAACGGAATCAGAACCCCACAGATAAGTGTATGTAGGCAAACCATTGGGTAGGCTGATGAAAGTACTACTTGCCATAGTCGGAATACACCGAAGGAGAGAACCAACATCAATATTGATTCGCATGTGCTATTCTAGGCATGTAGATGTTTGTGGATTCTTTGGTATTGTAACAACCAACAAACCCAAGCATGGACACTCACAGAAGCCTTTCTTTTTCTCGGCCTTTCATCGTTTGTCCCCTTGAGCCGTCTTGTCCCGTCTCCAAATCACAAGGTGAGTCAAACACATGGCAGAAAAACCTGGAGATGTTCCCTCCCTTGTCCCAATTACTCGCCGACTCACATCGTATTAGATGACACTGACTGACTGACTTACTCCCCTCCCTCTCTCCTCTCTGTTCACGGGGAGCGAGAGCCATGGATTTGATTAGTCCAGCAAAGGTACCCTGCATATCTCACAGTAATCAATTAACTGTGCAATCTTGACTGCTTTGGGCCACGCCGATTCCGCTCCCAACCCACGCCAACTGCCCGCTGATTGGGTGTGTGCTGCCAGAATTTGTCCGCAGCCACCCCGGCACATGTGTGCAAGCCCATGTTTGGTTCCCTTTTACGCTTAAAGCCATGGTTTTTCCTTGCCAGGCCAGGCCCCCAACGGGAAGAGGAGGATGGTGTGGTGGTGAGGCTCTCCCCCCCCTCTCTCTCTCTCTCACTCCATGCGCACCACCTCTATCAGTACAGTATACAAAGTACTTTGGTACATCTCGTTCTAGAAGGCAATTGACGTGACTGCGCTTATCCCATCTCGGTAGTTTCTCCGCATAGTCTAGGCAGCTCCCCATTGGCCAACCTTTTTTATCTCCTTTTGCCAAGTCACGCTATTCCACATCTGTCCATTTTTGTGGCGACCGGCCCGCAAAAAAAGTTCCCCAATCTCAAAGGTACCAGAGGAAAAGGTACATGTCAATTTGTATCACCACCAAAGCGCTAAACTCGTGATCGCCCTTTTCGCCATGTAAGACGCGCGACAGGGATCCCGTTCTTGTTGGACTGGGACACACCACCACTATCCCACTTGCGACTCAGCCGTGTGCGACAATTAGGCCGAGAGTTGAGTGAGACGCATTGTTTGTGTTGTTGTCTTTCAGATTTAAATTCTGGGCTGGTCCCTCTTGCTTTGCTCTTGAACCGCCAAGCCTGTACGCTGTCGCTCGATTTCTCCTGTGACGCTCTTGTTGCGCCTCGCAAGGTTGGTCGCCAACCAAAAGTCGCAGCCATGGCAGTATTGAACGAGACCCCCGATTCCAAGGCCCTTCCTCAGGATTTCCAAGATTTACACGAAAAAAACCCCGGTGTCGAAGTCGATCTCACGTCCGAGTCCGAAGGCGAAGATGCCCCCATCACCGACCTCTTCACCAGCTTCCCGCCTCTCAAGGGCATTGAAGAGGAGCCCTATCCATTGACTTTCCGTGCTGTTATTACTGGTATTGTTTTGGGTTCGCTAGTCAATGCCTCCAATGTGTACTTGGGTAAGTTGTCTCCACCACCACCAAAAATCACCACCACGATATATCGCGACCTCTGCTAACTTCTACACCACCACAGGCCTCAGAACCGGCTTTACATTCCCTGCTACTATGTTTGGAGCCATCTTTGGCTATGGTACGAATTTTCTCGAGAAAATAGAAAGAAAAACGAAGGAAAACTGATCAAGTTATGCAGGTTTCATTTTGATGCTCACGAAACTGCTCCCCGGTGTCCCCTTCCTCGGCGGCAAGTTTGGGCCCCAAGAGAACTCTATTGTCCAAGCCTCTGCTACTGGAGCCGGTGGTATGGCTGGTCTCTTCGTTGCTGGTCTACCTGCCATGTACCGATTGGGTCTCCTCTCCGAGAACCCCCAAGACGACTTTGGCCGTATTCTCACCATCACCTTCGTTTGCGCATTTTTCGGTCTCTTCGCCGCTGTTCCTCTCCGAAAGTTCTTCATTATCAACGTCGCACGAGAGTTGAACCTTGTCTTCCCGACTCCTACTGCCACTGCGATGACCGTATGTTGCACCCGCGCCTCGAACAGATGTATATCATACTAACATGCGATTTTTTAGATTCGCTCTATGCACGCAGTCGGAAATGGTGCCGGCGATGCTTTGAAGAAGGTCAAGGCCCTCGGAATTGCTTTCCTCGGAGCCTTTACCCACATCGTTGTCTCCCAGTACGCCGACGGTATCCTTCACAACTGGCACGTCTTCACCTGGTTCTACATCTGGGGCGATTACAAGAACTGGGCCATCAACATCGAGAACTGGGGCTGGTACATCCAGCTGACTCCCGCCTTCTTCGGCTCTGGTATTCTCGTCGGTCTTAACGCTGCCATTTCTTGGTGGGGTGGCACTTTTCTTGCCTGGGGTCTCATCGGCCCTCTCCTGGTTCACTACGGCGAGTGTGTGGGCTCACCTCTTGGTGAGCCAGGCACCAAGTGGGAGGGTTATATGAGCTTCAGCAGCATGAGACATATTGGTGAGCCTGGCTGGGTTCCCTCACCTCGATACTGGATGCTCTGGCCCGGTGTCATGGTCCTCATCGTTTACTCCCTGGTTGAGTTCATCCTCCACTTCCGAGTTGTCTGGGACGGTATCAAGTATGCTTTGCGAAACTCCGCCAGCTCCATTAACAGCCTTCTTCAGAAGAGTGGCAAGAGCAATTCATTCCTCGAGGGCCAGGCTGCCAAGCTCAACGAAGAGAGCAGCCTTGTCGAGGACTTTGCTCCTCCTGATCAGCAGGTCCCCATGTGGATCTGGGTTACCGGCTCCGTTGTCTTCCTTGCTGTTGCCTGCATCGTCTGCGAGCTGCAGTTCCACATGAATGCTGGATTGGGAATTCTCGCCTGTCTTCTCGGTCTCG